CATAACTATGGAATACGCATGTTAATCCAGCCTAGAATTCACTTAACACGATTGTAGATAACAACCTTCACTACTTGTGAATATAAGTTCATAACGATTAGGTGAAACTCCCTTATATTCTAGCATCAAATTCATGCATGAAAATTAAGCGTGCACTCTCAACCAACATACACAAATTAGTTATCAATCAAGCAGTTAAGCAAATTAAATCACAACTCAGAAATCACAACTGAAGGTAATCAATTCATATTACAAATATATTCATGGCTTTGAACTTCCCCCTAGCTAAGTAGGGGATTAGTTCCTCATACTTGCAATTAAACAAAAACAATTGATATTAAACATAGAAAAACAAAGTAGAATACACCTAGAATGCTCCAACAACTCCAATGGAATGGCTAGTACAACTCCAAGCACTCCTCCTTCTTTGCAAGCCTTGGAACTAATGTAAATGTGTATGAATTTCTGTGTGATTTGAATGAGGTTGCTGCCATGGTATTTATAGGAAAATGATGGACTTGTTTAACACAAAATTCTGGTGGAATTGAGTAGGTGAGCACGGCAAGAGTGGGAATTGTTGGTGGGTTAGGTATTGAGTCATCAATTCACATGTCATGGTGAGTTAAGCATTGCATCATCCACTCACATGTCATGGTGATTTAAGCATTGCATCATCACTCAAATTTCTGGTGAAAGTGAATCAATGCCCACGGCATTGAAGAATTTCTTGGTTTTGAGTGAAGTTTTGGTCAATCCTTCTAGAAATTTATCCCTTCTTGCAACTTGTATTTGTTTCACCAGATTTTTAGCATGTTCATAGCCTCTTTTGTCTTCAAATTCGTCCCTCCTCATGCCTCCATGCTTGCACAATCCAATCTTGGCCCAAAAATGCTCTAGAATGTTCCAAATTGCTCCTTTTTGCATACTTTGACAATAAAACCTGAAATTGCACGAAAATGACTTTAAACACTAAACTAACTAAGGAAAAATAACATAAATGCATGAGAACAAGCCAATTAAGTCGCATAAAAATGCTCCTATCAGCTTCTGAAAAAATTTGGTTATGGCACAAAAGATTGGGACACCCTTCTTTTCAATACCTGCAATATCTATTCCCTTCTTTATTTTCTAAAGTCGAGGTTTCTGATTTCCATTGTGAAACTTGCATTCTTTCTAAAAATCATCGTGTCTCATTTCCTTTAAGTTCCCATAAAAGTAATGTTCCTTTCTCTCTTATTCATTCTGATGTTTGGGGACCATTTCATATTCCTACTTATACTGGTGCTAAATACTTTGTCTCTTTCATTGATGACTGCACTCGAGTTTCTTGGGTATACTTACTCAAAAATAAGAGTGAGGTTATGTCTATTTTTCCAATCTTTCATCAAATGATTCAAACCCAATTTCATGCTAAAATTCAAGTTGTTCGATCTGATAATGGGAAAGAATATTTGAATTATGGACTTGGAACATTTTTTCAACAACACGGTATCATTCATCAAACATCTTGTCCACATACTCCTCAACAGAACGGTATAGCAGAACGTAAAAATCGTCATCTCTTGAATGTGGCTCGCTCTTTATGTTCTGCTATGCACGTTCCTAAACGTTTTTGGGGTGATGCCATTCACACAGCTGTTTTTCTTATCAATCGCATGCCATCACGTGTTCTCCAATTTCAAACACCTATCCAGACCCTTTCCCAATATCATTCTCTTCCTTCACTCCTTCATATTCCTCCAAAAGTGTTTGGTTGTGTCTGCTACGTTCACGTCCCCATGCAAAATCGTGATAAGTTGGATCCTAGAGCCATCAAATGTGTGTTTATTGGCTATTCTGCTACTCAGAAAGGGTATCGATGTTACTATCCTCCCACTGGGAAATTTTTTGTCTCTATGGATGTTACCTTTCGGGAACACGAGGCATTTTTTTCAAAAGAAGATTTGGCCACTTCTCTTCAGGGGGAGATATGGAGTAAGGAGGAAGAGAAGTTGCCGCTTGACATTGGTGGTATGCATTTTTCAGATGAACACTTGTCTGATGTTGGTGATGGTGCAAATTTGCCTAATGATGAGGCACAAGGTGAAAAAATATTGAAGGTGTATGAGAAGACAAGAAAAAAAGGAGATAAAGAAAAAATGGATGATGAGATAGACCACCCACAGATAGATCCCCATATTGACCAACTCTCTGACCAATCAGCTGCTACTCGTACGAATTATCCTGAGGTAACCACTCATTCTCCCTCTCTTCAGCCTACTATATTTGATGAGTCCAATCATGAGATTTCATTAAGTGATGATCCAAATGATTCAAATGAACCACATTGTGAGTCTCAGGGTTCTCGTTATCCTATTCGAGAAAATCGAGGGATACCCCATGTTCGTTATGGTCATTCTTCTACAAAGGGTATTCAATATCCTATATCTAATTTTGTTTCATCTCATCGCTTGTCAGACTCTTATATCTCTTTTGCAAACCAATTGTCATCAGTCTCAGTTCTTAATAAGTTACAGGATGCTCTTAAAGATCCAAAATGGAAAAAGGCTATGATTGAAGAGATGGAAGCGCTTCGAAAAAACTCCACTTGGGAACTGGTTGCACTTCCTGAAGGCAAGAAACCTGTTGGGTGTAGATGGGTGTTCACAGTAAAGCATAAAGCTGATGGTTCAGTGGAAAGGTACAAGGCTAGACTGGTAGCCAAAGGTTATACTCAAACCTATGGCATTGATTATCAGGAGACATTTGCTCCGGTAGCAAAGATCAACACTATCAGGGTTCTTATGTCATTGGCAGCAAATCTAGGGTGGCCTCTACGACAGTTTGATGTAAAAAAATGCATTTTTTACATGGAGACTTGGATGAAGAGGTATACATGGATCTTCCTCCAGGATTCACTACCACTTGCGATATTGGCAAAGTATGCAGGTTAAGAAAGTCCTTGTATGGATTGAAACAATCACCAAGGGCATGGTTTGGCAGGTTCGCTCAATCAATGAGAAGTTATGGGTTCAAGCAAACTCAAGCTGACCATACCTTATTTCTTAAGCATGATAGAGGTAAACTTACAACCTTAATTGTTTATGTGGATGATATGGTGGTTACAGGTAATGATGTCGAGGAAATTCAAAAACTTCAAAAGTATCTAGCCAAGGAATTTGAAATGAAGGACTTGGGTACTCTGAAATATTTCTTGGGTATTGAAGTTGCAAGATCAAAGCATGGCATTTTTCTTTCTCAAAAGAAATATGTTATAGACTTATTAACTGAGACTGGGATGTTAGCTTGTAAACCTGCAGACACACCAATTGAGCAAAACCATAGATTGGGAGACTATCATGATCAAGTTCCGGCTAACAAGGAAAGGTACCAAAGATTAGTTAGGAGGTTGATTTATTTGTCTCATACACGACCTGACATAGCCTATGCTGTAAGTGTAGTGAGTCAATTTAGGCACAGGCCAAGTGAAGCCCACATGGATGTTGTACAACGCATTCTCAGGTATTTGAAGTCTGCCCCTGGAAAAGGCTTGATGTTTTCCAATCATGGACATCAAGAAGTTGAAGGGTACACTGATGCAGATTGGGCTGGGTCAGTAACTGATCGCAGATCGACTTCTGGATACTTTACATTTGTTGGAGGAAATCTAGTTACTTGGCGCAGTAAGAAGCAACATGTAGTGGCTAGATCCAGTGCCGAAGCTGAATTTAGAGGTATGGCACATGGTGTGCAAGAATTGTTATGGCTCAGGACTTTGTTGAGAGAATTAGGTTTTAATTCTGCAAAGCCATCAAAACTTTATTGTGATAACAAACCTGCCATTAGCATTGCTCATAATCCAGTTCAACATGATCGTACTAAACATGTTGAAGTGGATAGGCACTTTATTAAGGAAAGGTTGGTTGATGGTACCATTAACTTGCCTTATGTGAAGAGTGATGACCAGCTAGCAGATATTTTAACAAAGGCAGTGTCAAGTAGGATTTTCCATCTTTCACTCAGCAAGTTGGGCATTCGAGATATTTACGCACCAACTTGAGGGGGAGTGTCAACTAAAAGCAGCCATGAGTATTGGATGGCTAGTGAAGTTAGGCTAGTCAACTTTCTTTATGTAAATTAGGCAAGTTAGGTAAGTTAGGCAAGTTAGGCAAAGTTAGGTTTTATGTCTACTTTCTTTCCCTATATATATGTTCATCTTGTAATGAGAAATAATCATCTAATATATCAAGGAATTAACTCTATTTTAGCAAAATTGAAAGACCAGCATAGCCATTATAATACACAAAAGTATCTTTATGAGATTTAAATGAGAAAATAAAAAGTGTCCTACCTGATCTCATTAGGTCAATATTATGCACAGTACAGTCCTGTATTGAGTCCACTCTAAATTTCCAGTTCAATCCAATATCTTGAACGAGGAAAGACCAGAGATAGTACTGTTATCTTAATATCATTTTTAACTTCATAAAATTTGTTTATGCGGAAACGATCTCATGAGTATGTTGTAGACATAATATTTTGTTGAATCATCTGATATACCTCCAGTCTTGGCAAAAAAAGGAGATGAAGCACAACGGTCTTGGAAGTTGCTCCTCATTAAAATAATTAATTCTCAGTCAAACAGTTTAAGAATAACATCGTGAAGTTGCTTATTGTTTAAACATGAAAAAAGGTTTTGGCTGAAAGCGACCAAAGACTTATTTTTCAACCTTGATTTTCTTTGTTTTCCATGCTTCGTGTATTTGCTTTTTGTATATTTACCTGCAATATTGTTGGTGCTAACATATTTTTGGAGTTGAGTGTCTCTTGCCTTTGAATTTATGAGTACTCAATTATTCTTATTCCTCTCCCTACCCATCTTAGAGGTGGAGGAACTTTTATATGATTTTGCAGCAAATAATGTGCTTTGTCAGGTTTCATATCATTGATAATTTGATATTTATATTTTCTTCTCAAAGTTTTTAATTTTTTTTTTTCATGGGATAAGAAATCATTCGTTTAATCATGGCAGGTTGAAGAAACTGAGAACGTGATTTTGGCCTCAAGAGAGAAGATGGAGTTCTATCGCACAAAAATGCAGGAACTTTTTAGTAGCTTCTGTCTTTGGCTGTTTTTCTTCTGGTCATTGGTCTAGAGCACTGTTAAATTTCCTTACAGTATAGCTCAGTTGTTCAGTTGTATGTATTGATATATTGATTTGTCCGTAGGATGCGACAATAGAGGGCTTGTTCATGGGGGTAGTTGAAATGCATTCTGTTTCACATTATATTGGTGTCTAGTGATTCTATAATGTTAGTTATGTTAGCGTGGGATCATAAAATTCAAATCGCTATCAGAAGTTATTTTAGTAACCTTCCTACCGGCAGACAGTTATCTGGCTCAATTGATCCTTGAATTCAATGATAGTGACTTTGTCCACTTTTAAGTTCTGAGATATAATGCATTCAGGCATTGCCTCTGGTTCTATATTTCTGTTGGTTATTAATTAGCTATTGAGAACCTTAAGATACTTCATGTAAAATGATTTTGTACAGTGTTATAAGCTTCTAAAGCGGTGGAATTTTGGCCATAGTGCACAGTTTCTGCCTCTCTTAACTTTCTTTTGGTCATTTCTTACAGGTTCTGTATAAAAGCAGATGTGATAACAGATTAAATGAGATCACAGAAAGGGCAATTGCTGACAAGCGTGAGGTATTTTCTTACAAAGATGAGTTGTACTACTAACATTTAGCAAGAATGGTTTCCCATTAATTCATGTTAATGAGTTGTATTGCAGGCTGAGTTACTGGCAAAAAAATATGAGAAGTACAAACAAGTGGCAGAAATAGCATCTAAATTAACTATTGAAGAGGCCACATTTCGCGAAGTTCAGGTATTTATATTCTTGCTTCAGAATCAGGAGTATTGATTTATTGCAGCCATGCCATATGTTGCGGGCATATACATGTATTGCTTTTTCTTTCTTCTGCTGTTTTCATACACGAGTAATAATACTCAGTTCTCCCCAGTAGCTGCTTTATTTGATTGTTTTCTATAATGAGTGCTTTTATTACTTTGAAGTGTGCTTTTTTTCACGACCTTCAATTTCATTGCTTATATTTTACTCGATTCATTCTCAGGAGAGGAAAATGGAATTGCATCAAGCAATTGTTAAAATGGAAAAAGGAGGTAGTGCAGATGGTATTCTTCAGGTAAACTCCTTCCCACTAGCTATGATGAACAATACTGTCTGCAACTTTGTTAGTCTCTGATGCATTGTGTCTACTATAGGTCTGTGCTGATCGTATACAATATGATCTTGAGGAGCTAGTAAAGGCTCTTACACAACGTTGCGAGAAACATGGATTAAACATGAAGTCAAGTGCAATATTTGAGCTTCCAACTGGTACTACAGTCACATTCTTTTTCTTGTACTCTATTGTTTCACTTAAGCAATGTCCCATATTCAACGAGGATACAAATAATCTAGTATATCATTGCATACTCATAATAAAGAAAATGAATAACTTAATCAGATATATATAGAGTGAGCATCAGTTCAGGGATCCTTCAGATAAGCTTGCTTGAGGGATACTCTTTTAAGACCCACTTCACAAGTCAAGTGCAATCATCGCTCAAAATCACGCGTGTCTTAGGTTTTTCGTCGCGCAAATATTTTAAAAACGAATTGTAGACGTCCCCAGAATTTTCTCGTCACAAAGCAAACTTGTACCCTTTTATATCGTACGACGAAAGCCTTTGTCTGTATACCTTTCGCTGACACGTACTACAGCGTCGTGCAGTACGCGACGAATGTCCACTTCGTCGTCGTGCAAGGTCTTTTTTCACGACCTTTGCGCTACGATTTATCCGTCGCCATAGGTTTTGTGCGACCTCAAGATGCTTTGCGCGGCAAAGTGTCCCTTGTCGCGCAAAGTTTTTAATTTAGTAGTGCTAGTGCCACATCAGTAAATCACATGCTTCGCCTTTGACTGAGGAGGTGATCATCCGTGCACTTTCAAAGACATTCTGCGTCAAGGCTTCGCGGCTTGAGGGCGTCATGCTGGTGTTTGGCATGCTATGCTTCTTAAAACAAAGGCATTCTGTATCTCCTCCCTTTTGTATTATAGCTTATTATCATTGCCAGTACCGAGTTTTTGCTCTCATAGCTTCCCTTACAAGTAGCGGTTCCTTGTTCCCTAATTTAATTGTGTTTAGAAAAGAAAAAAAAAAACCCAAGAATATTGGTACTCCAAAACTGGCGGCTGGAATTTTTCTGTGATGTTTATATTTGAATTTTTCTTCAGGAAACCAGAAATTGGCATCCATTGGAATACTAGTCAACCAGTGGATAACATAACATGGCTTAGCAGTGAATGTGAACAGACTTGGCCCCTTTTCGTTGGATCGTACCTTGTGGGTACAACTTGTACCGTACAAGGCTATCAGTTTGGAAGCGTTGAAGGCTTGCTTGAGGAATTTCAGACATCTGCAGAGTGGAAGAGTGTATCTACCTGATCCCGAATTCCTGATGATGGGGAGCTACTTGATGCTGCATGTAGATCTTTGATCAATGAGTTTTCCGAAGTTTTTCAGGCTGTATTCATTATGAAACCATGTCAAGGTTGGATTTACAAGCCGTCTGAATCTGAAGGGCTACATTTCTAAATCCTTTGTGGATCTGAAATAGACATGGCTGTCGACGCTCTCAGAATGAATACTTAAGCATACTTAGATTGAAATTGTTAGAGCTCTCAACTTGTAACTTGTTATGCACGTTATAAGATCTACATGAGAAGATTTAGGTTTGGATCCTTGCTTCCCACCACCATGGAATTTGCATAACTTCTTTGCAAGATCAACTTGTAATTTGTATATTTGATAGATTTTGATTAAATTGACTGACTTTTGTGCATGATGATGCCTTTCTATTGATCAAAGTCTTATTTTTTGTTATCTCTTCTGAAACTCAAACCTGATCTCATCTTCTTCCTTGAAACTTAAATATCCCCGGTTTGCAACTGGAAACTCAATCGCTTCATTTTGGCGAGATTTTGTCAATTTCATTACATATATGTTACGTTTGCTTATGTTGCATAAGTGGGGCTCACTTGTTGATGTGGCACAATCATAATGCTCACTTATGATACCACCCAATAAAATAAGCTCAAGATAGTGGGGGAGAAGAGTAGACGGGGATGAGAAAGGAAGAAGGGGTTCATCGAAAAGGATGGGGTCCGAATCTTGAAACGAACATGATTACATATCTTGGTAACCTGTAGCTTGGAAAGCTTTGGTAATTATTTTCATCTCCTTTATTCTGTTCAGAATTATCTTTGTAATATATTTGTAATGTTTAATTTCCTGATTATCAAATCCTGCCAAAGGTGGATCAATGTTGTACTTGTATTACTACTCATCTTGTTTTTGTCTACTTATTAGCCTTTATTCTATTCAAACTTATCTCTACTAATTAATAAAACACTCATTGTCAACTAAAATTCTATGAAATTATCAGTTTAACCCTCTAATTAAAACAAAACATGAATAAGAAATATATGGCAGAAATGTAATTTCATACAACCAAATTTTGCGGTTTTTTTTTTCAAAGCCTCACTTACATGTAATTCTAACATATCTCACTCCCACATTCTCTATCACTCTCTCCCTCTCTCCTTCTATTTCAAAAACAAATAAAAAAATTTCCCACACACTTTGTGTGTGCTGCTAGTTAATATTAAAACAAGAATGAGAGTAGGAGGACAACAAACAAATCAGGAGCGCAAAAATCAATTCCTTGCTTTTAAACCGTATTGTGTCAATGTTAAATTAGACTATTCCAATACCAAAAAAATAAAAATAAAATAAAACTTCCACATATCAAGGTGCAGTAAGTGCCTAGTTTTGTTTCCTTTCCATGCATGTGGATGTGGTTACCATTCACCAATTGTCATATAATTTCAGCATTGTCTCGTTATCATTTTTAGAGGAAAAACACATGCAATTTTGACCTAAAAGTGAGCGAATCATGTATGCTGAAGAATTTCAAGACAAAAATATCCACTCAAATTCACCTCGAATTCAATTTTGGTACTCCCTGTTAGATATTTAAAAAAATATTCAACAACTTGAGATCTCTTGAGGTGGGTCAAACTTGAAGTATTCCCCGTCGAATTTTTCTACAAAATCTGAAAGTATATCGAATTTGAGATCTCTTCTCTTTAGAAACATCCGTTGTGAGATCAAAAGCAAGCTAATTGATGAACCCTATAGTTGTGGCTTGTTTATTTTTTTTTTCAAGTAATTAAAGGATTGTATGAGGAGAGCATAAGATATTGTCGATGGTGCAATAGGGAATTATTATTAGCATTCCAAAATTCTCATTCTACACTCCTAACTTTCTATATTTGGAAAGAAAAATACAATTACGAACAGTGTAGAATGAGATTTTTGGAATGTCAATAACAATTCCCGGTGCAATATTAAAAAAGGTAAATTTAAAATAAATGTAAATAAAAAGAAAGAAAAAAATAGACACCTTCATTTTAATCCTTAAAAAAGATGAGTTTTAGACTATAACCTTGTGTAAGATTAAAATCTAATTTTAGTCCCTAGTACATTTAATCATCTTATTTATTAGTTATATTTTGATGTTTTATTTATCTTTTTATTCCTATTTTAATGTATTAATTACATTTAAATTTAATTTTCATTTCATTTATCATAATATTTTAATGTCTACATTTAGGCAACTAATTTTTTTATTTTTATAATATATAGTCCGATAACAATTTTGTATGTTCTTCATTTAGGTACATTAATATATTTGAATATTTCGGTATATCTATCGATACAAACATATAGGTACATTAAACATATACATGCATTTTGGTACACACATTTGAGTTTTTTTTTTTTTTTTAATGCAACGATATATTTTACACTAAGGCGAGGGGGGTTTGTGTCACAACCCGTTCCGGGAATATATAACGTGGACGTGAAATGACGATGCTGCCCTCGATGTTACTAAGGTGGGTGTGTGATATATACTATATTCATAATGTTTATTTTCCTAAGTTTGGAAAATTTTATTAATTTAATGGTTGTTATTTGTGTGGTTAAGGTTTAGGGGTGGACCACACACACATTCTCATTCTCCCTCACTCCCCCGTGTCTCTCTCTCTCTCTCCCCCTCACGGTTCTCTCTCACTCTCTCCCTCTCGAATTGTACGGCCACACCCAAGAACCCTCTAAACATCACGGATCGAGGCTAATGAGGTATGGTTCTTCATCCTTTCATCGTCCAGAGTTGAATGGTGCTAATTTTAGGTAGTGAAACCTTCGAAATCACGTGAAACCCGAACCCTCATTTTATGTCACTATTCATGCAAATGTGATATGTTGCATTTCAGGGAATTCTAAGCTTATAGTGAGCTTAGTGAGGTCCTAAGGAAGCTCGGAGTGCTTCGTTTGAAGGTTTTGGACGTCGGGATCACTAGGTTCGACTTTGGCCAGTTTTTCTTGGAATTTTTCTGATGAGATTTAGTTGTTTTTAGAGCCTTAAAAGTAGTATATTGTGAAACTACATGCTTAGGGCTTCATTTTGATATAAAATACGAAGAAAACGGTTGAGAAACAAAGGAGAATAAGCGGTTACAAAACTTGCCTAGATTCCGGCCGCCGGAAAAACCAGTCCGGCGAGCCAAGGTAGGAGACGCGCATGGGGGCGGATGAACCCGTGTCCTCCCCGGCGCGTGGGGGCACGTGCCACGTCAGAAATTTTTTCTAAAAATGTCTCGACGTCCGTGACGTCGAGTAGGTCGATGTGGTATATTCATATACCTAAATTGAGCACCGTATGAGAAGTTATTTCGAATTATTGGTTATGTGTTTTAATTAACGTTTCTATAGTTGTTTCGCATATAGGTGACACCTATCCCGAGGACGAGCGCATCCAAGGACGTCACGGGGGTTACGACCCATCGACTTACCACTAAGTGGGCAGCTTTTGTTTTTCGTATTACCTATATACTATTGGTTTTCCCAGAAAATGAAATTATATGAAAATATGTTTTAAAATGCCATGCATACATATTATGAGATTTTTGAATTGATAATTGATGCATATATATATGAATTGACGTTGTGGACGCACAGGTGAGTTTTACGTTATTCATATGATTTATTTTATGTGAATTGCATTGAAAGCTTATAACCTGCACTCTTGGTGTTAGTGCTTATATTATTCACCGCACCGCACGCTCGCCTTGGATCCAAGTAGGTGAATGTCGTACAGACCATGTGAGGGTTCCGACATGCTAGTTGTATAGATCGCTAAAGGTGATTCCGACTAGTGGGTGACCATAGTTTATGCGTACCGATGATTGATGAGAGAAGCACTAGAGTGTATTCTTACACATTTCCATCGTACAGACTACCTTACATAGTTCCAAGTGACGTGCAGAGTAGGGCCGTATAGGTCACTGTGGTGACTCCGGCTAGGGGGAATATTGAGCTAGAATTAGCCGTACAGGACCACTGTAGGGTCTCCGATTATTTCATTATATCACCTGTCATATTGATTGATGTGAAAAATAAGTTAACACACAAATTAAACCCTCTTTTTGACAATTGTAGTATAGATGTAAGTAGGGTATCGTTCTAGGCCGGGGATTAGGAGGGATTGCTAATCTATTCTAAATTAATTTAAAAATATTAAATAAGACTCAAGGACACAAAATTAGGCTAAAAACTCTAATAACTCGAAACACACTTAAAATGACTCAAAATAATGAAAACAATTAAATTAAACACTAGGAACTGAAATGGACGGAAATTAAATTAAAAGACTAACAATAAAGAAAACTAACTAAAAATATAATTTAATAATGGATGGGTGTTTGGTTTTGATGAAAAGTAAATTAAACTTAATTAAATTACAGAATTGACAAAAACATGAAATTAAGGTGAAATGATAAATGACGGACTAGCTAGAGGGTTTTTCTCCACACATGACACATATGCAACCTAAATTGATTTTCAGTTGTTCTTTCAATAAATTGTAAATCTCAACGCCCCAAATTAACCGTGAATTGCACTAATTAACCCTCAGTTTTTCCACAAGTTATTGGGTTGGATGATTGCATACGACAACCCAAAACATTCCCTACAAGTTCTCTACATGAATTGCATAATAGAGATACAAGCAAGAATCATTAAGTTCTATGAAAAACATAAGCATTGACGAGGCACTCGTTACTATGATTTGCATGAAACTTATGCCAAGAATTTACTTAACGTGATTGTGACTAGCAACCTTTACTACTTGTGAATATAAGTTCATAACGATTAGGTGAAATTCACTTATATTCTAGCATCAAATTCATGCATGTAAATTAAGCGTGCACTCTCAACCAACATACACAAATCAGTTTTTATACAAACGGATAAGTAAATTGAATTCACAACTTATGAAATCACAACCGAAGGTAATCAATTCATATTACAAATATATTCATGGTTATGAAATAACCTCTAGCCAAAATAAAATTAGTTACACATTATTAAAACAGAAATAAAATATAAGTTTGGAAAGATTTAACCGAGAGAAATGGAGTGAAGCCTCTAATTTTCTTGCTGCCTTGCTCTCTGGAGCTTTTCTTTTGTATTGCTGTGCTTCCCCGCCAGTCTCTCCCTGCGCTGTCCATCTCTTATATTTTTCTGTGCAGCTTGCAGTTTTGCTGCTTCTCTCACTCCCGTCTGACCTCTGCCACGCTGCCAAGGCAGCGTTCCTTTTCGCGTCAATCCTCCCCTG